GGCACGCATAGCCCATAAGGCTGGGGTGCACCAAGTCACCCTGAGATCATAGGAGATCCTAGGCAGCCTCCCATATTAACTATTAAGATCAAAGACGTGGCGGGCGAGAATTAAGAGGGTGCTGGATCTCCTAATTGGCACGGCAGGGGGACCTAGCGGGATCACGGCTGCTCGTAGGCCCCACCCGTGACGGGTGCATATTGGACGTGAGCAAATATGGCAAAGGTCTCCTGGGTCCCAGTCCACTTCCTGTTCCTCCTCTTGGCTTTCAAAATTATAACCCCCTTTTCTCTGCCTTTCAGGCTTTACTACCACCTTGAGCTCCGAAGGACCCAGAGCCTGCCCATCCCACTGTCCTCTGCCTGTGGTGAGGCACTGCCTCAGTGGATGCGAAGCAACCTCTCATTGACAGACGTTATGATGAAGTGGGAGGAGTACCAGCGCCAGCTCATGCTGGGCTTGCTCTGCATCAATGTGAACATGCAGGCCTCCATATTCCCGCAAGAAGGGCTGAAGATGAGACCCCCAGTAGTAGGCTATGTGCAAGAGAGCCTTCCACTCTTCTGAGTTCACTGCTGCCACCACGGGGTGGGGGGGAGGGAGCAGAGGGGTGGGCAGCATCTGTGATGCACCTGGCAACCTGCCACCTTGGGGCCATTATTACCCTGCAGAGGGGACTTCCTGTAAACGAGAAGACAGTCAGTGGAATGAAACGTAGCTGATTTGCCCCTTGCCTTGCTGTTAGCATGATCATGTTGGCTCATGATAACCACTTAGAGACATGTATCAGCACCCAACAGGGAGGTGGCAGTGACTTCTTTTGGCCACACCGTAGCAATTCTAGCTGGGCTTCTTTGGGAGACGTACCTGGAACTGCTGGGTTTTTTCTTTCAAGTAGTTTAGGGACCTAGTTGGTGTTCTAGAATGTTTTTGTTTGCTTGTTTTAATTGACTGATTTTAATTATTTAAAACCCATTTGATGTCCTTTGGCCCTTCGCTGTGTTAGCAAAAGGTAGAGCAGCCTGCAGTGCCAAACGAGCCATCTGGTTAGCCTGGAGCCTACCCCTCAGGTCTCCTTTTTTTTGGAGCCAAAGTTCTTTTTACCTCTGTCCATGCTCCTTATCCCCTCTTGAAGCCAACTCCAGTCTTGTTGCTATCAGTACAGATTTCACTGGAACTGGAGAATTGCAGGAGTCAACCTGACACTCATGGTTACTCCAGGCTTCCTTAATTTCTTCTCCTCTGTCTCTCTCTTGTTTCCATCTCTTAAGGGGTCTATGTCAAGCCTAGCTTTTGGAGGCCTGACGTCTATCTATATAGTGCTAACACTAGCTGGGATGCTTCCCTTCCCTCTTCCCCCTCCTTCTCCCTGTCCCCAAGAAGTTGGATAACAACTTCAGAGTTTGTTTTCAAAGTCATTTTGTGGGATTTAGATGCCCAGTTTCCACTAATTTTGAATTGAAATAATTTTGAAAAATTCCCACCTTGCTTCCCAGTGTGGGCTCAACAGATGCCGGGGGGGAGGGGGAAAGGATATGAAGGGCTTGTAAGGTGGCAGAAAGTGAGATTGCATTGTGCATGCTTCCAGGTGGTTTGTGGTGGGATGGTGCAGCAGGTTCCCAGCAGATGGGTATCTGAGTTGAGAGGGGGCCAGGTTCAGGTTTCAACTCCAAGGGACCATGGAGTTAGGGAACTTTGAAACCAAACTTAGTGCTGGTGCAACAGAACGGAACTTGACTGAAGTCAGTGTCCATGTTGGTGATGAACATGGACCATAGCAGTGAGGTAGACAGCACTCCACCTTTACAGGTGTGACCTGCTTGCTTTACATGTTGACTGATGATGGTGGTGTCATGATGGATAGCTAGGAAGAACGAGCAGGAGGAATGAGGAAGCTGTGGAGCGAAGCAAGTGCCTTCATACAGCCTACTGCCTATTTTGTTACTTAAGACGAGTCAGTGGGATTATACTGGGGCTGAACTCTGCTCGCTGTTTCACTTGCCTTTTCATTGGTGCTCACTTGAAATGTCTATCCCAAGGTAACCCATTAACCTTATGCTGCTTGTGTGCTTACAGCTAAGCTATTTGGCACATTCTCCCTGAGATGCCTGTCTAGTTTAAACATTGACTAGCTTTGTAAATGCAAAATGGCCTCATTTTTTTTTTTCCCTAAGGCTGAGGGATGACTTCTGGTGGGAACTGCACATACCACAAGCCAAAATCCCTCATCTTCTGACCATCTGTGATGCACAAACCTTCCAGATGGCTTTATCTTCACAATGCATCTGGCTGTGCACGGCTTTTTTCTACCTGTCCTAGCGCAAACAATCTTCAGTAGGCCAAAGCAAATGCATGTGTTCTTTGCAGGGGAACAGAATGGGGAAGTCTCAAGTTTTATATTTAAATATATACCCAGAATCATGACCTTTTTTGTAAAAGGTCCTCGAATGTCACTGTTTATAACTCTGGTGGCACGCGCTAAGTAAATAACTGAGAGCTTGGAGAAGGAGAGGACATAGTCCAACAGATCACATGTGTTCTGGACACTTTAAGAAATGGTAGTTTACTTTCAAAAGGTGAAGGGGTTTTCTTTTTGGCTTTTTTTTTTTAGCGGCAGTGGCCTCTACACTTGAGGTGGGTGTGAGTTTGATTCAAATGAAGAGCATTCCTAGGAATGACCTACATTCCTACAATTTCTGGCAGGAAATGGTCAGGTGCTTGACTACTTGTCACAGAACTCATTCTGTAGTAACCAGATGACTGTGGGGAGCCTTGGCAGTAAGGGCCTGGTGGTGGTTGATCTGTCTGTTCCCACAAGACTTTGGTATGGAAACAAGCTTATGTGACTTGGAACGTCATTTTGCCAGTCTTGAATTTGACACTATGTACAGAACAGAAGTGCCTGAAGAATTGATTAAATGAACTTGGTGTTTCTCTCCAGCATAGTCTAATTTAGCCTTTTTTTTAATGTCACACTGTTAAGGCAGCAGAAATAGGAGTTGGAGGTGCTTGCTGCCTGTCTATAGCCATATGCTGAGTGCATCGGTAGTGCACCAAAAGGGAAGAAGATTCTTTCACTGCCCTAGAGTCATAGAAAATTAGGGTTGAAGGGACTTCAGGAGACCACCTAGTCCAGTGCCCTGCTCAAAGCAGGACCATCCCCAACTGTGTCACACCAGGCAAGGCTTTGTCTAGCCTGGTCTTAAAAACCTCCATGGATGGAGATCCCACAGTCTCTGGGTAATCTGTTCCAGTGCTTTACTATCCTCCTTCTTTCCCCACAAGACAGGTCACATTTGGCATAACCTCAGTGAGATGTCCTTTCTGTAAAATGCTTGCCTTGCCGTGGGTTACACTCTTATCTGGGAACAGCTAATCCCTGCCTG